CTGTAGCAAAAACCTCTTCAAAAAAAGAAAAAATAAATTAATTAATAAAAATTGAAAACAGGAAACAATACTGAAAATCAATGAAACAAAGAACTGGTTCTTTGAAAAGATCAACAAAATTGACAACTTCTAGGAAGACTGATAAGAAAGAGAGAAAAAGAGAAGGAAAGAAGAGGCAAGACACAAATGACCAATTCAGTAATGAAATGAAACAGCACTACAGACCCTTCAGACATCAATACAATATACGGAATACCACAAATATATAATATCTGTAAAACAAACTTACACACATAAATTTGACAACTTAGATGAAACGGGTAGTTTCTCAAACAACACAAATTGACACAACTCACATAATATGAAATAGATTATTTGAGTAGCTTTGTAATTTTACGGAAAACTAAGTTTACTATTTAAAGACTCTATGAGCAAGAGATGGAGAGGTAGAGAAAGGAAAATGGGAAGAGAAGCAAAAGTAAGGGAAGGGAAAGAAAAGAACGGGATCAATCTGTCTCCAGGTCCAGATAGTTTTGTTGGCAAATTCTACCAAATATGTGAAGAAAAATGAACGCAAATTCTGCACAATCTCTTCTTGAAAAGATGAAACACCCTCTAGTCTATTTTATAATGCTAGCACTATCCTGATATCTAAATCAAATATAATACCAAAAAAAAAATACAAACCCATTTCTCTCATGTAACAAAATATTAGGAAATATTGACAGCAGTATGTAAAAAGAATTATACCCTATGACAAGATGGGGTTTATTCTAGGGAAGCAAGGGTAGCTCAGTATTTGAAAATAAATGTGTGATTAATATTAATAGGCTTAAGAAAAATAACAATCATTACCTTCATTTTTCAGATATACTGAAGTATACTAGGACTCAGTCTCTTTCTATACCTAGTCCCCTTGATGGCTCCCACATTTTTACCTTTGTCCCAGATTACTCCCTTAACTCCAAACCCATAAGCCCAACTATCTGTTAGACATCTACACATAACAGGCATTTCCAAATGGGCAGTTCCAAACTCAAATTCCTGAGCCAAATGGTGGCATGGTGATTAAGGAAATGGATCCTACACGACTGATTGTGTGGTTCAAGTCCCAGACCCAGTGGCTTGAAAAACACACCGGGCATGGGTACATGCATGCCCTAAATCCTGAGAGAATGGAGGGGAAGGGACTGCAGTGTGACCATCTCCCTGGAGGCCCTTTGTTACTTTGCTTCTCTCTGGAGAATGCATGTGCCCTATAGCAAATTAAGAGAAAAAATAAAAAAGTTCTGAAAATCAGCAAATGGAAACTCTATACTTATCTTAGGCTAAAACCCTTGGGGCCACCTAAATTCTTATCTTTCTTTTCTTTCCCATATCGAATTTGTCGGTAATCCTATTACCTCTTTTTCTAAAATCCCAGAATCTCTCTTCCTCATTGTTTTCACTGATACAGCCCTAGTCTTTTAATTCTTTCATCTGAGTTATTCTGACCGTTGTCAAAGCGGTCTTCCTGCTTCTCCCTGGCACCCTTACAGTCTATTTTCTACCTAACAGTTAGAAATAGGTAGGAATATTAGTTAGGAACAGTTGCTCAAAACTGTCCAATGGACTCTCACTTTATTCAGAGCAACATCCAAAGTCTTTACTGTTGCCTACAACTACCCATGTGATGTGGTTCCATGATTCTTTTTGGAGCTCCTTTCCAGCATCCTTCTGGTTCATATTACTAAGGACTTTACTCCTTGCTCTTTCTCAAAAATGCTAACAATGGTCTAAATTTGGTTTTCTTTCTGCCTGGAACAACAGCATATGGTTAGTTCTCTCATTTCTTTCAGAGCTCTGACCAAATGTCATCTCACTGAGGCCAACTCTAAGCAGAATATATAATAAACTCCTATCTGTCCACACATAAACCTCCTCATACTTAAAAAAAATCATTTATTTAATTTTATTTATTCATTCATTCATTTTAATTTGACCAGAGAGAGACACAGAGAGAGAAAGAGGGAAAGTGAGAAAGCAAGCTACCAGGTCTGGGACTCGAATTATGATCAGCCATGTGGGAGTGTCCAGCAACTTAACCACCTCGCCACCTGCTGGTCCCCCTCCTCAAACTTGCTTACTGCCCTTGATTTTTATATATAAATCCTGAGAGAATGGAGGGGAAGGGACTGCAGTGTGACCATCTCCCTGGAGGCCCTTTGTTACTTTGCTTCTCTCTGGAGAATGCATGTGCCCTATAGCAAATTAAGAGAAAAAATAAAAAAGTTCTGAAAATCAGCAAATGGAAACTCTATACTTATGATTACTTAGGCTAAAACCCTTGGGGCCACCTAAATTCTTATCTTTCTTTCACACCCCATATCGAATTTGTCGGTAATCCTATTACCTCTTTTTCTAAAATCCCAGAATCTCTCTTCCTCATTGTTTTCACTGATACAGCCCTAGTCTTTTAATTCTTTCATCTGAGTTATTCTGACCGTTGTCAAAGCGGTCTTCCTGCTTCTCCCTGGCACCCTTACAGTCTATTTTCTACCTAACAGTTAGAAATAGGTAGGAATATTAGTTAGGAACAGTTGCTCAAAACTGTCCAATGGACTCTCACTTTATTCAGAGCAACATCCAAAGTCTTTACTGTTGCCTACAACTACCCATGTGATGTGGTTCCATGATTCTTTTTGGAGCTCCTTTCCAGCATCCTTCTGGTTCATATTACTAAGGACTTTACTCCTTGCTCTTTCTCAAAAATGCTAACAATGGTCTAAATTTGGTTTTCTTTCTGCCTGGAACAACAGCATATGGTTAGTTCTCTCATTTCTTTCAGAGCTCTGACCAAATGTCATCTCACTGAGGCCAACTCTAAGCAGAATATATAATAAACTCCTATCTGTCCACACATAAACCTCCTCATACTTAAAAAAAATCATTTATTTAATTTTATTTATTCATTCATTCATTTTAATTTGACCAGAGAGAGACACAGAGAGAGAAAGAGGGAAAGTGAGAAAGCAAGCTACCAGGTCTGGGACTCGAATTATGATCAGCCATGTGGGAGTGTCCAGCAACTTAACCACCTCGCCACCTGCTGGTCCCCCTCCTCAAACTTGCTTACTGCCCTTGATTTTTATATAAGGTACTTCAACCCTTTTTGACTTACTCTATAGTTGCATGTTCGTTTTTCTATCTTCCCTACTGGAAAGTAAGCTTCTAAAGACATGGATTTTGTCTGTTTGCCTAGAGTAGTGTTTTAAACATAGCTGCTGAAAAAATTACTTGCTGAATGAATGAATGATTGAACCACTGGCTCAGGAGTCTGGGATCAGACATCAGATATCCTTGATTTGACCCCTGGTTCTGTCACTTCCTAGCTATGTCCAAGTAACTTGAGGCGAGTTTGGTTAATCGTGTTTTATGTTTCTGATCTCTAGAATACCAATAATCATCCTTACCCCACAGGACTTATGTAAAGATTAAATAAAAGAGTACATATAATGTGCTTAACACACAATGACATGGTATACAGGTGCTCAGTATATGGCAGTTTACTTAAAATGGAAAAATGGTCTAGATAGCCCTAGGTTATAATTATAACTAGATATTAACTGCAATTTAGGCTATTAATCTCTTTCTTAATTAATTAACTCAATCAGCTATGAATCAGGTACTGGGGTCAAAAAGATGGCTAGGATCCATGCAATTCCTTCCTTTGAATCTTAGTTGTATGATCTTGGGTAGGTCACATTAAGTTATCTGGGCCTGTTTTCTTATTTGTCAAATGGCGACAATATTATTATTTTTTAATTTTAATTTTAATTTTTTGAGAGGTTTTTGCTATAGTGCGCATGAGCTTGCCAGAAACAGAGACAGAGAGAAAGAAAACGAGAAATCACCCCTTAGCGTGATAGCCATGCAAGGGGTGATAGCCATGCCGCAATCCCTTCTCCATTCTCCTCTCGGGATCTCCGGCACGGAAGCACATGCGCTTAGTGTGAGTTTAAGCCACCAGGTCTGGGACTCGAACTGCCATGGACCACATGGGAGTCCAGCGACATAGCCATTATGCCAACTGCTGGTCCTACGCAATAACTTTGTTGTTAGAATTAAATAAGTTACTAAGTGAAAATACTGTCTAGTACCTAGCAACCCCTCACTTTGTTGACTCTCAGTATGATGATTTCAGTCTAGAGGAGAGGTAAAAGCATCTAAACAAAAGACTATAATACAACGAAGTAAGAGCAAAAACAGGCATCAAACTAGAAGAACATCTCCTAAACTGGTGTCTGCTCACAACTAGAAAGTTCTACTGTGACCAGGAAACTCTAAAATGGTTATGTCTTGATGACCTAAATCCCTACGCCACCCTCATAGCACTTAGGAAGGCACAATTTCTCTGCTGATTTAATAACAAGAATTTAAAACTTAAAAAAAAAATTGAGTCAGGGTTTTCAGTCTAATTGCTACTTAAATATAGTCAATGGACACACTGGAACAACAAAATAGTCCCATCACACACCAAAAGGTTAACGTGTCTCTTAATTTAAAAAATAGTTAACTGGATCCCCACAGGGCAAGGGTAGCATGTGATTCCCTGACTGAAGCAACCAATGATCTGAGAGCACAGATGTGTTTCATGACAGCGCTGTTAGACTAGACGTCAGAAATGGATATTAAAGAACGATCCTGGAGACTGTGTGGGAGATCGCCAGGTGAGAAAGGTAGTGTCGCCTTCCGAGAGAGCACAAGAACCAAGGTATGGAGGCCATGGGCACGTGGGTGACTTGGAAGAACCAAAAAGGTACTGGGGTAATGGGGGGGTAGGGTGACCAGAGTGCAGCTCGAGGATGAAGGAAGACTGCGGCCTGAGGTCTGCCAAGTGAGGCAGGAAGTCCCCTCCCACACCCGGGTCATTATGTCCAGCCTCGGTGTCCTCTTAGGATCCCAGCTCTATGGGCTTCAGACTGCTAGGTTCCCTCTAGTTCCCGCCACTCTTCTCTTACCTCGTCTTCCAGCCTTTCCCTCACTCTCCCGCCTCCTCCGCCACACCGGAAGTGACGCGTAACTAGCGCGCCGAACGGCGCCAGAAAAGTTCTGAGGGAGCGAGAGAAAAGGCGCGGATGAGACTCACTGCGCCGGCGTCAGGGCACCGGCGGTCAAAGCGCCTTCCGGGGGCTGAGGGATTGCGCTCTTTCC